CATCGGGGTGTCGAAAAATGTTGAGGAGGAAACGGATGGTAATCCGTTCTTCCAGCATCAAATGGAGCAGCCCTCTTCATCCCATTTCGCTCAACATGTTGATAGCGATCCAGATGATGCTGAGTATATTGGACCCTCAACGGAAGATGAAGAATTTTCCAAAGAGGAAGAGGACATATCTGCAGATGAAGGAGAAGATGGCCAGGACGTGGGGGGAAACGGGTTGACCGTATGGAAAGCAAGATTCATCGAACACGACGTGGCGGGATATAATGATTTTGTGGGTGTCAAGGTCACGGCAGCGGAAACCGCGTTGGTTAGAGGGATAGCCGAGGAAAATGCAACGGGTGGAGCGTGGAGCGAGTTTGTGAGGGGCGGCGGCGGAAATATTGGGGTAACATAGGCAGACAAAGACGCGAAGGTGGCCGTAGGACGGTGGGGAATTGAAGAGGGTGGCGTGGGGGGTTTTGTTCTATAAGGTGGTGGTGGGAAGAATGTTAAAAATGTGGGTTGTCATGTGGAGGGCCTCGACCCAGAAAGTGGGGGGAAGCTGGGCTTGAAAGAGAAGGGAACAGACCGAGTTGTTAATGGTACGAATGGTGCGCTCAGCTCGGCCGTTCTGTTGGCTGGTGTGAGGACACGAGAAACGGAAGAGGATGCCTAAGGAGTCAAAAATATTTTTGAGTGGGGATTTACGGTATTCTGTTCCATTATCACATTGAACATCCATAAATCCGTTTGTAAAAGTTGAAACGGAAACATTGAAACACGACTAGAAGAATAAAATGGGAGGCGCACATGCTTTCCCAATTGACATGCATGACATAATGAATGTTGATAACTTTTAAAAGTAGGAAGAGACGAAATATTGCTAAGGACAGTTTGACTGGGATGACCTAGGCGCCGGTGCCAGGTCTGAAGATCGACAGCGGCGACATTGGCTTGAGCGGCAACTGGGCGTCCTAGGGGGTAGAAGGGTCCCATGTCATTGGAGCGATGTATCACGGTGCCCGTCTGACGATCCTTCACAGAAAAACCATTAGCGTCAAATTCAATGGAACAATTATTATCGCGAGTGAGTTGACAAACAGAGATGAGGTTGTGGGTGATGTGAGGGGAAATAAGGATATTTTTGAGGGATAGGGAAGGGGTGGTGGGGAGTGTATGGCTACCAATAGCCGTAGTGCTAACCTTAGATCCATTACCAACAGTGATATATAATGGTGAATATAAAGATTGAGAATAACATGAGAAATAGTACATGGGTCAGAGGCAATGTGATGGGATGCACCGATATCCATATACCAAGAGGGTTCACGGAGGGATAGGGTGTCAAAGTGGTGTGCAAGGGCTG